GCACACAGGTGCACACCCAAAGACACACATATACACACCCAAAGACACACATATATCTCTCCTCTAGGCACACACACACACACACACACACACACACACACACACACACACACACGGAAGGCCTTTATCAGTGGTTCCCAAGCTTTGGTATCAGAATCACCTGAAGACTTAGGCCCACAGAGGTTCTGCCACTTGTCACTAAATACAGAGGTGTGACAGAGACGCTGCCCTACCACGCTTTTAATCTAAATTTCCAAGTGATTCTGATTCCTTACCACTTGTGAGAACACCCACCCTCCCTGGGTCCTGGATACAGGCTGTAAACAGCGATGCCAAAAGTTCCATCCCTGACCACTGGCTGGAGTGTTTAAGAGTGGGGACAGGCTCTAGGGATCCTCGATTACTTCACAGGTAACATGGAGCTGGAGTTAAAGCCACCATGCCCAGACCTGGGTAGTTTGGACTGGACTATGTTTATAACTCTCCCAAGAGTTTTAAGACAACACTGAGTCTTGGATTCAATGCAGAGGTTCTGATTTACCTGGTCTGGGATGGCATGTCTGTCAGAGTTCTCAAAGCTCTTGGAGTAGGGATCTAGTTTAGTCACAGATTGCTACCTAGCCTTTACAAGACCAATTCCTAGGATTTATAAAGCTTTCAAAATGTGAAGTAGGGTTTGAGAAGTTCAAACAGCAAAGCTAGACAGGTCCTCCCTCTACAAAAAGCCAAAGGCAGACTGTCTGCTGTCATGGGTTCAGCGCACATCTTCATGGTGAAGATTAAGACATTCAATTAAGGGGGAAGAAAAGGAAGGAAACAAGAGAAATACCATCATTTACTAGACTTGTTTAACCTAGTTTTCCAAGGATTGGAAACTGATAATTCAAAAACTCAGTAGTTCACTGTGGTAATCTTGGAAATGTCACTCAACACTCCCACCTTAGTTGGCCAACTGTGTAAACCATGAGACTTGTTTAGGCAGTCATGCTGGTGCCTGCTAGCATGACTGCCTAAACAAGAGCTGAACAAGGACAATAGACACACCAATCTGAATGGTGGTGGTAGGGACCAAGGAGACTTCAATCCTACACAAAGAACTAGAGGCAACTAAGGAATGCTAAGAATAGAAGAAATAGTCTTTCTCAGTAATAGATTTAACTGTCAGCTTGACACAGCATGGCCTCTCCTGAGAAGGGAGTCCTTCTGAGGTCCTCTAGAATAGGTTGGCCTATTAGGGACTTCTTAGACCCAGGCTAGTATAGATGCCACATTATCATGGCCTCAGTTAAGGACTCAGTGCATGCACTCAGTCTCTCTGATTATGGATATGGTATGAACAAGCTATTGCAAAGTGACTTCCCAGCTATGATGGACAGGAAACGTGAGCTAATACAACTGCTCTCACCTAGTAGTTGTTTTTCAGGGTATTTCATCAGAGCAACAGGGGGTAAAAACCTAAGACAACAATATTTGGAAAGATTGAATAATTGCCTTAGGTGATATCCTTAGTATGTAAGTAACTTAGACAGATAATGAAAAAAGGCAAAGATAACAATGGGAAAATGAGTAATAGGTAAGAGCAGAAAGTTTTATGTGAGTAACCAGTAAATATGTAAAAAATGCTTAACTTCAGGAGTAATAAAATTGAAAATAAACATGCTATTCTTAGCAAACAGCTTTACACACAGGGAACCATTGGGGCTGCATCAGCAAGCTCAGGTTATCACTGCAGTACTCCCATACCGGGACCTTCAGTAGTAACAATTCATAGAGGGAGAAAGACAAACAAAACAAGCAAGATGCTAATGAGGTGGAAGAAATAAGCAACCTGAAGGAAAATGTGCCTGTAAAATCTCATGGAACCAGGAATATGCTGTTTCCCCAAGATGGTTTCCGTCACAGGCCCAGGAATACTGCACTAGCTGCAGTAGTGTGGGCTGACATCACAGGCCCAGGAGTGCTGTGCTGACTTCACGCTCATCCTAGTCTCACAGAGCAAGACTCCAAACACATGCTGCAAGTCTCTGCTGCTGTGGTGTCCGAACAGTCAGAGCAGTCTGAGTTCTTGGTTTCTTTGTCAAATAAGATCAAAAGCCTCTCACTTTCTTGTTACAGTTGTCCAGTATTCACATCTTAGGACCAATGCCCCTGTCCCATGTTACTCAAAATAGAGCTCATTATGGTATCATAAATGTCTAGATCATTCCCTCAGATTACCTGGAAATAGAACTAAATGTTCAACAAATAAAATATTTTCTAAAGGTACTTTCCTACCTTTGTCTTTAAGAATCAGCATCATTCAATGAGTGATGTCTCACAGTCCTAACTTCAAATCAGGCAAGGCACAGAAATGAAGTTTGGTAAGACCCAGCTCTAGCAGCTGATAGTAACTCCAAAAACAAAACAGTTTCCTGTGGGTTATGACCCCTTTGGGGGATGAACAACCCTTTCACAGCAGTCATATATCAGATATCCTGAACATCAGATGTTAAGTTACAATTCATAAAAGTAGCAAAATTATAGTTATGAAGTATTAACAAAAATGATTTTATGGTTGGGGGTCACCACAACATGAGAAACCATAGGGCCACAGTGTTTGAACTGTATTAAAGGCCACACACAGCATTTGGAAGGATGAGAACCACTGTTCTGTGTGAAATGCTGGCTTGCTTTTAGGAAGGCAGGTTCAGCATTCCTAACTTCACTCATTTAAAACTGGATGTCTTCTCATAGCAGTTAATTGATGTTCTTTAATGCTTAACAGTAATGGTACTTGTTATGTCTTCTGAGGCGAAAGAATGCATACATGGCTTTTAAGTTATGCACCTAGAGGAAGCATTTGCTTCCAATTGCTTTCATCTTTCCTGTCTCTCTTTAGGTTAAAATGATATGGCTGGAGCTTACAGTGGAGGAGAGAGGGAAAAGGAACTGCTTTATTTCACATACAAATAACAGCCTCTACTGTAACACACAGCGTATCTGTGGAGTGTCTGGAGAAAATACATGTGGAAGTGAGACTGGTTTCTCCCACTAGGAGGCAGCCTAGCCTGCAAGGTGACAGTCAAGGTGACAAGCAGGCTCAGTCTGTCTAGCAGTAGCCTTGGTTCCTAGCTCAGACACTCAGTTTCAGGGTTCTGTTTAACATGGGGTAAGCTGGAGCTAGGGGACTCCATGTCTACTGGGGACTCTACAGAGAGTGCCAGCAAAGACCATGGCCATAGCTGGCCTTCTGACTGGTCTGTAGATTTAGTACCACTACAAAGCAGAAAAGCCTACTTGGTAATGTTTGGTTTAAGGCTCTTCATGCTGGCAGGAAGTGGCAGGATGGGGGACCTGTGACAAGATACTGAATGACTACGAAGCAGACTATCTACTCAATGCTTTTCATAACCAGAGGAGACCAGATAAGTCCTTAGTCAGTCAATCAGCCATTCAATGAACTACCCATCAATCAATCAATATGGCCAATCTCAGTAAGCAGATATCATCTTATTGTTCACATTCACATTAAATATTGCTATTTTTATGTCTCAGGAGTGTATGTTCTCTGGAGTTCCCACTTTTGGGAATGTTTTCAGGGATAAAGCATCATGGAGGATAGCATTGTGTACTGAGCTCATTCTGACTTTCTCTGATAGAGCAGGTTCTCTGCAGTGTTGTATCCTGCTGCGTGTTGTCTGTGTGCTTTCACATACATGTAAGAACAATGAAAGAGATTGCCACTTTATCTGCCTGGGACTACTTTTTGGACCCACAGAATCATGGGGGCTGTGGCCAAAAGAAGTCACACTAACTCCTGCTGCATAAGCATGTCTTGTACACGGGAGAAGTGGATGAGTTGTGAGTGAGTGAGAATCTGGCCCTGTTGGCCGAGGAACAGAAGTAGGAGTGGTGTTTTCTGAAGTGAAGTAAGATGCAAGCCATTCTGGTTTGCCCAGGTGCTTCATCCTTTGAAAATCAAGAGTACAAGCCTCAGTGGGTAGGGAGCCAAGGTGTGATGACATGGAGATAATGTTTTTGATCATGGGGACTTTTCCATTTTCCAGTTGCTTTGGGTTCTCAGGTGTATTAGAAAATGGCGTCCCAGAGGAACTGTCTGTCTATTTGGTTGATCCTAGGGTGGTGAAGTAGCACAAATATCTAAAAGCTAGGCTGTTTTATGATGAGCAGAGGAGCACAGGCATCCTGCTGCCACAGCAGCTGAGGCGCTGGGCACTGGTTTGTAACTAAGCTGGAAGGTGGATACATGGTGCCATACTCTTAGAGCTCATGGTTGATTCCAGTCAGCACATATTTTGTTCCATGAATCTTTGACAGCTCCTAAGATAATTGCATATATTTTAAAGTTTGGATATTTTGTTTAAAAAATTTAGTTTTCTAACATCTCTTTCAAATTTAAAATCTCTGGATGTACTAGGCTTCAGGCCTTGTTTCCAGTGGCCATACATAACTGAGGGTGGCTAGTGTCAGAGGGAGCCAGAGTTCTATGAACCTGCTTACACCAACCTGTTCAGCCTTTGGCACTGTTTGCTCCGTCCCTGGAGTCTTTGTATGCACAGGGAACTTATGTGATGACAGCATATTATCAGCCCAGTGGTTATTCTGGCTTTCTCTGATACTGTTAAGAGTTTCACGGCTCACTTATGCCATATGTGATCTCATTGCTTTCCATTCTGATTCTGCTGCTGGAATAGGCAGCAGACATTGAAGAAGATACATTGACTTGTGGTCACTCAGACTGCAGAACCATTTGTCATATGAATATGGAAGACCCTAAGAAATGGGCTAAGCACTAGCCTTTCACCTCCTGGTAAAGACATCATTTCTAAAGATGAGAGAAGCATGTTTTTAGGGACATTTTCAGAGGGAGTAATAATATTTAACAGCTCAGAAGTTAGTACTGCTAAGATTCTCAGGTTGGCTTTGGACCCCAGGACTTCACTGTAGGCAGTACACAGAGGAAGACACACGAGAAAAATCAAGAAAGGATGTGCAGATACCTGTCATACTGTTAGGAGTCACAGGTTAGTAGTCATGCTGGGTCCTCTTCTACACTGGCATTTCCTACAAAGAGACAAAATAACACACAAAAGAGCACACATTACAATCTGCACTTGACTTCTTTTATTGAGACAGTGACTCACTATGTGGCACTGGTAGGCCTGGAACTTTCTATGTAGATAATGCTGGCTTCAGACTCACAGAAATCCTCCTGCCTCTTTCTCCTGAGTGCCAGATTTTACTTATTTATCAATTATATTTTATTTATTCTTTGACAATTTCCCCACATACCCCAAAACATGTATCTCTCCCCCTTTCTTCCTCTCTCTCTTCCTTCAGTCAGTGCTGCCTGTTGGCGTGCTAACTGTCGTGCAGACTGACCTTGTGCAGGTCACCATGGCTGCAGTGAGCTCACAGGGCCATCAGACAACCCCTAAGTGCACCCCTCCTCATCCTCCAGCTCTTACAGCCTTTCTGTCCCCATCTTACTCAATTACTCAGTTGTTTTTGTTCTAAACTATATTGTGTTCACTAGTGAACTTGAGACAAGACTGCCCATTCTAACTTGGAACTAAGGGGTTAGAAATGGAAAGGGCCATTTGGCACACACATGGTAACAAAACCTTGATTTTTATTTCTGGCTTCATTCTAAAATTATGCTTTTAAAACAGTGTGTGCATATGTTTTTAAGGGCACTTTTTTTTTTCTATTTCATGGTTTGTTTTTAAGAGAGCTGCCAAACTACGGATGGTCTATTTTTCTATAAGTGACTAAGGTGTTTGCGCAGCAACAACCCAGAACCTCTCACAGTGCTGCAGCCGCTGCCTTGACGGGGCCTCGGGGAAGACCCCAGATAACTTTACCTTAGATATATTCTTCTTTTTTAAAAATACCTTTAATTTTAAGTTGATTTATTTTAAAGCCAGACCAATGTTTTCTCTCTTTCCTCTCCCAGTCCTTCTTCCCACCTCTCTTTCCCATCTCCCACCATCATTCCTTCTCCTTTTCTTTTCAGAAAAGAACCAGCCTTGATGAATATCAACAAGCTATGGCATATCAAGTTGCAGTAAGACTAGCATATCCTCTTTCATTAAGACTAGACAAAGTCACCCAGTAGGGGAAACGCGTCCCAATGGCAGGCAACAGAGCCGAGACAGCCCCTGCTCCCACTGATAGCAGTCCCATGAGGAGATGGAGCTACACAGCTGTAACATACATGCAGAGGGCCTAGGTGAGTCCATGCAGGCTTCCTGGTTGGTGGATGAGTCTCTTTGAGCTCCTATGAGCTCTGGTTGGTTGATTCTGTGGGGTTTTCTTGTGGTGTCCTTGACCTCTCTGGCTCCTACAATCCTTCCTACCTGTCTTCCACAGAATTCCCCAAGCTCTGACTAATGTTTGGCTGTGGGCCTCTGCATCTCTTTCCATCAGTTGCTGGATGAAGCCTCTGATGACAACTACCATGCTACAATCCACAGACCCAAAGAAACTAAGTAACAAGGTGGGCTTAGAGGAAGGAACACCAGAATCTCACTGAGAAGGGGAAACAGAACAGACATGGGGCAGGGGGTTGATAAGGAGAGGGGACTAGATGGAGGCTGGAGATGGGAACAGGAGGGATCACGTGTGGGGAGGATGGAGGGAGAAAGTACTGGGAGAGACAGCAGGAATGGAAGGCCACTCTGGCATGAGCTAGAAATCTAGGGCAATGGAAACTCCCAGTCTACAAGGCTGACCCTAGCTAAGACTCCCAGCAATGGGGGATATGGAGCCTGAAAAAGCCATCTCCTGTAACCAGACAAGACTTCCAGTGGAGGGGGTTGGGAGACCAACCCAGACACAAAACCTTCAGCCCACAATCTGCCTTGCCTAGAAGATGTGCTGGGGTCAAGGTGGTGTAGAACTGGCAGGAGTAGTCAACCAGCGACTGGTCTATGTGAGACCCATGCCATGAGAAGGAGCCCTGACACTGCTCAGAGGCCAGAAGCCAGAGCCTGGAGAGACCAGAGACCCACAGTGGAACCGAACATGGATGGCAAAGCTCCTAATGATATTATGCTATACTAACAGATTGGCATCTAGACATCTTGTTCTTAATAACTGACTCCCTTGACTTTCCCTTTTGTCAGAGCTGCTTTCTGCCCTTCACCAATTCATTTCTGAAATCATGAGCAAATGAAAGACTGACACTCAGGAGCTGGAGGAGGCCCGGTAGGGTCAACGACAGAAGCACGCAGTCTGAGAGAAGTTTGTGCACCCCTTAGGTGCACACAGGTAGCTGGCGCACACAGGTCAGGGGCTTCAGTGTATTTTCTGGGAATAGTTTTTGGAAGGCGTTCTGTGTCTAGTGTAGGACAACAGTAGCTGTGCCTCTTACACAGTGCTGAAGCCCAAGACACGGGTTCAAGGGTCAGCACTGCTATGTACTAGCTGTGGGATTCTGAGAAGCAATTTCTAAGCACTGGAATTCCCATGCCTTTCAACACAGAATGAGAAAACAGGCACAGGCTTCACTATTTTACAAAGCTGCTGCTGTGGGAAACAGGGTATAAGGAGATTTGTAGTGAGACACAGCACACTGAGCATTGCAGCCCTCTGATGAGGAGGCATGGCCTTGTGGTGGGCAGAAGGAAGCCAAAGAAGCACATGGATTATGTCCTCAACACAGCTCTACACATGGCCACTCAGTCTTCGACTCCACTCTAGCCTGGTGCCCATGCATGGTTTCATGCCTTTATCATAGTTTTTGTCACACCCAATAGAAATTATAGGTTTGCATGGTCACCTTCACATTAGACAATAAAATCTTATGGCATGACTTGCTATTCTCATTTTTCTATCTCCTTCATCAAGCAGAGTATTGGACACATAAATATATATTCAATAATGGGTATAGTAAAGTGAAACTGCTCTGACATACATGACGTATGCCACTTGAACTGGCATCTGAGAGAAGAGAGGAGAGGTAGCCACTAGGAGATGAAGTCTTACAGTTGATCTTTTCCAAGGTCACAGCCACCAGCTTCCGGCCCCAGCCTCATCACCTGTTCAGCTTCTCAAAGCGAGATGAATCAGGCCTGGAGATGTTGACTTTGGGAACACAGGTTGTGCCTGATGCCCAATCTTGGGCTCTGTTGCTTTTAAGAGCTTTGCTTTTAACCCCTCTCAGCCCTGGAACCTGCTACCCCAGGAGGCTGTGAGTATTAGGGATTCAGAGGGAATGAGGATTGTTGTAGCTCAGGGACAACTAAAGAGCCCTATCTCTGGCCATGCTTAAGTACGATAAGGTGCCTCCTCTGGACATTTGGAGAAACAGAAAGGAAAGGGAGAACAAAGGGTTGGGGGGGAGTGGGCGGGAGGAGATGGAGAGAAGGGAGGAAGTGGGGAGGCAGAGAGAGAGACAGAGAGAGAGAGAGAGAGAGAGAGAGAGAGAGAGAGAGGGAGGAAGAGAGGGAGAGAAAGAGAGAGAGAGAGAACTAAGCCTTTGAGACCAGAGCAGGGAAAGATGATTAGCCTGATATTCCCTGGGGAAGCCAAAGGCTTTCAGTCTCACAGGAAGTTTCAGTCTTCCTCAAGGCCCATTCATTCCTTTTTATCCTCCTGGCCACTCAACTCTTCCTTGGAGATGACTTTGGCAAACATATCCTCTTTCACATAAGTGAATCCCATCACAGTTACCACCTGACTGACAGCTCCCAGCTTCATACACAATAACACCAATGTGGCCAAATAGATTGTTTCCCTTTATAATCTCTATACAGGAGCTACTAAATCCCAGTTGCATTCTTGAAACACTATCAACTTAAATGTTTCTTTATCTTCAACATTCTGACTGAATGGCTGTAAGTAGTGCAGAAATATAATCCATGAGGCAGAAGAGATCTTACCGACATTCTAAAACTGGCAACAACATTATAAGCTAGTGTTACTTACTGAGAACTATTTTCTTCAGCAGTAGAGAGGTTTTATACTGCAGTATCATAATTCTGTGCTAGGTGGTGTAGGTAGAGGGTATTACTGTTACTAGACTCTTAATGGTATGCTGGCAAGCTATTACTCTAGCACTTTAGTAGTACTTAGCATGTAGTATTGTATGTTACTATTGACCTCCAGTGAGCACTAAATTTATTTATTTTCCCCAGTGTGTGTGTGTGTGTGTGTGTGTGTGTGTGTTTGTGAAGGACTGAGGTAGACAGGGAATCATCTTTGACTACTCTTCTACATTATTCATTGAGACTGAGTCTCTCAGTCAAACCCAGAACTCATTCGTGGCTACTATTGCTGACTTGTTTCAGGATGCTGTCTCTGCCTTTTGAGGTTGGGATTACAGGAAGACCAGCAAGACCACATGGCATTTACTTGGTTACTGGGGATCTGAACTCTTGTCTTCATGTTTGCATAGCAAGTACTTGACCACTGAGCCATCTCCCCAGCTCTGAGCTCTAGAATTTTCAGTGTGATTCCAGCAATGTGTCTGACAACTTGTCAGGTATCACTTGTCCCAGTGCCTCAGTTCTACCTCATCCCGTAACTCCCTGGGGATGGTCTTCTCCAGAGATGTGCAGGGGTCTGGGGCTTAGCAGTTTGTGGAGGAAACAAGAGTTAAATCAAGGTCACCAATTTGCATGCCTAGAAGGATGAGCACAGTGGGGGAGCAGGCAGAAGGAAGTATTAGGTATGGAGTGCTCCACAGGGCAGCTATGTTGAGGAAGGAGGTGGTGAGTGCTATGCCTGTGACAAAGAAGGCCTGAGAACCAGCACCATCCAGAAGAGTCACTTTCTCTGGATGTCATTTTCACCAGTCCCATGCTCATTCAACAGAAGGGAGTTTGCTTTCTTATATAATTAAATTTTTTTTTTTTTTTTAGCTAGGCATAGTGGTTCATGTCTGAAACCCGAGCAGTCATGAGGCTGAGACAGGAGGATTTCAAGAGTTTCAGGCCAGCCTGAGCTAAATATTTTCTTTTTATTCAGGGTCTTGCTTTGTAGTTCAGGGTTAGTCTTCAGCTTGCAATCCTCCTGCATCAGCCTCCTGAATGCTTGGTATGATGAGTATGCACCATCAT